TTTTCTTTTTGCTTATGTGGTGCTGAGGAATTGAACCCAGGGCCTCATGCATGCAAGGCAAGCGCTCTACCACTGAGCCACCTTCCCAGCCCACACTGGTTATTTTTTATTAGCTTATTATAATAGTTATACAGAGGGAGAGATTTGTTACATCCCCACACATTTACACCATATTCCAACCAATCTCACCCACTCTATCATATTCTCTGTTCTTCCAATCCTCCCAAATAAGCATCTCCAACAAGTTTCCTTGTTCTGTACTCAGAACCTTAGTTATTTATATATTTATTTGTTTGTTTATTTTTGGTTGTGGACACCCATGGCTCACGCCTATAATCCTAGCTACTCCAGGAGGCTGAAATCTCAGGATCACAGTTCAAAGTCTGCCCGGGCAGGAAAGTCCGTGAGATTTATCTCCAATAAACCACTAGAAAACTGGAAGTGGAGCTGTAGCTCAAGTGGTAGAGTGCTGGCCTTGAGTTGAAAAGTGCAGGGATGTACCCAAGCCCAGAGTTCAAGCCCCACAACCAAGAACAACAAAAAAGTCTGCTTTGATTTATTAGGGATGTCTTCAAGGCAATTTCAGAATTTTAAGAAGGTATGCTAAAAATTACAGAGAAAAATTATGGAGTGACTGAAATCAAGAAGCAATCAGAAGCCAGGCACCAGTAGCTCATGCCTATAATCCTAGATACTCAGGAGACTGAGATCTGAGGATTGATCATGATTCAAACCCAGAGAAAATAAACTGTGACACTCTAATCTCCAATTAACTACCAAAAAGCTGGAAGTGGAGCTAAGCCTCAAGTGGTAGAGTACTACATTGAACAAAAAAGTTCAGGAATAGCCGGGTGCCGGTGGCTCACGCCTGTAATCCTAGCTACTCAGGAGGCTGAGATATGAAGATCGTGGTTCAAAGCCAACCTGGGCAGGAAAGTCCGTGAAACTCTTAGGTCCAATAAACCACCAGAAAACTGGAAGTGGCTCTGTAGCTCAAGTGGTAGGGAGCTTGCCTTGAGCTGAAGAGCTGAGGGACAGCGCTCAGGCCCAGAGGTCAAGCCCCACGACTGATTAAAAAAAAAGTTCAGGAATAGTGCCTAGGTCCCTGCGCGTGCATATCTTCCCCCCGCCCAACACACACAGAGTTATTTCTGAAGTATTAATGCAAGAAAAAAGCAGAACGTGAATAGGTTTGGTATGAAACCCAATTCTGTTAAGTGACTTTGGACATAGTCCTTACCTCTTAATCTTAATTCTCTTGTTCATAAAACAAAGGTTAAATATAACTGACTCAAAGTTCTATAATAAGCATTAAATTGCCAGCGTAAGATCTGGCACAAGGTGGAGAACTCAAGACATGGTAGTTATAAGTAATGATCCAGCTGGCAGAGTATAATATCAATTATATTAGCCTATCTAAAATAAATCCCATAGCTAAATTTTACTAGTTTTAACAGTCCAAAATGATCATTAAACAATTACACCAGACAGGAGCTACTGAATGAATTAACTAGTCAAGTCTTTACATGAGCAAAGGTTTTGGGTTGTTATTTTGCTTTGCTGGGCCTGGGTGCTATTAACCCACATACAGAGCTCTGAGCACAGGTTTCAACGTTGTTGAATAGAAAACTATCCATTTTACATAGAGAATGAAAAGATGAAGACAGATTTTCGTGTTAAAGAGAAAATCTGAAATGTATATAAAAGATAAGGAAGAAAACAGATGATGGGGATGATTAAACATCCCTCCCAGGATGATATCTAGAGATGGTAACAACTTTCACTGGGCAGGTAAATCTATTCCTGTACAGAGCTGCTCTTTGGAGTTCCACTCATCACTGTTTTATCAATGTAGAAAATGGCTTCACCAGAAATACCAGTTGTTTCTTTTTAAGATCATTATTATCGTATTCCTGCATGCATACATTAACCCAGGTTCACAATGATAGATTGAATTACATGTTGCAAATTCGGTCTGGTAGATTAAATTTCTATAATCCAAGTATTCCCAGTCCCTATATATAGAAATCAATTCTTGGATGAAGTTTTAATAGAAATCTGAACTTTACAACTTAAAACCAAAACGTGTTTGTTGCTTAACCCCTCAATAAGATTATATATTCTTCACGGTGGAGAGATTTAGAAGCTGTATTAACTTGCAGAAGCTGCACTATCCCAGACATTATGCATTCTCTAACAGTATTTGATGTGTTCTCCCAAGATGTAAATATTAGTGCTAACCAAGTCCTCAATTCCCACTATCAACTTTCCTTCCTAAACACGAAAGTAAAAGACGATGGGTGTTATGCAATCATTACAGCTATTAAAAAGGATGCCGGTATATGTATTTAATTTATTCAAGAAGGAAATTGTTACAAGGGGAGTAAATTGGCACAAAACCATCACTACAATACACGTTTGCGCTTGTATGTGTGTGTTAAATGTGAATTTCGCTTTTAGGTAAGAGTATAACATCTTTATGCTTCAACGTGACTTTGTGACCGTGGGTGGAAGGCTAAGTAAGCATCGTGGAAAGCCGGTACAATCACTGCTGTCAATGTTCCAGGATTGTCACCAACTCAGCGTGACCTATTATATGCCTGAACAAAAGCCATCAAAGCTTGGCACCAGGGCTTTACAAACGAGTAACCCTACAAGAACAGCAGCTTAGGTTGAGTGCAAGGGTTTTCGTTCTAATCACTTCCCAATCCCGACAAAAGGTAGGCGCCAACAGAGAGTAGTGAAGGGAGCGTGGATTAGCCGATTTGCACTTCAGAAAAGGAACATTTGCTGTCTGGAGTTTTTCTCGGAATGAACGACGACACTGGAGTGCTCATACCAAGAAGCACGTAAGGGGTTAAAAAAAAAACCACATGCTTGGGTTCAGGTTTCTACTTAATAATAATAATGATCACGATGATGATGATGGTGGTGATAAAAGGTCTCAGTAGGGCCGCGAGCCCGGCAAAACACACCTCCCGGATCGGAACCCCGAGTACTGCAAGGCTGCGGCGTGCGCGTCCCGCGTTTCCCGGGATCCCACCCTGGAGGACCGCCCGCCGCGCCTTCCGGCCCGGTCTGGCCGGTCGCGCCGTGACCACCGGGCGGCGCGGACCGTTACCCACGGCGGGCTTCTCGGGCGAGGGCCGCGCCGGCGGGCTGCACTTACCGCCGCGCACCGCAGGACCCCGCGGCCCAGGAAGGCGGGCGGGCGGGGAGGAAGGGACACAAGCAAGGGAACTACGGCCACAGGGCCTAAGTCTGGGCCGGGCACCGACCTGGGCGTTCTGCCTTCCCTCGCGCGACAGTGGTCACCTGGCCACGCGACAGTGGGAACCGAAATCGGCAAGACCAGCTGCTTAAGGGCTTTTTGCCTCTTCCCGCCCGATTTGCCACGCGCAGGCGCTGCTCCGGCCAGCTCCAAAGACTCCCTCCGGGCTCGAAAAAACGCCCCCTCCCCGCCCCTCCCTAGGCGCGTGAACCCAAGCCTTAAGATCTCGCGAGAAGTTTTCCACCTCCCCTCTCCCCCCTCCCCCCCCATGGCCAGTGAGTGCGCGAACGAGAAAGGAGGAGGGCGCTCCAGGCGGCGGCACTGCAGACGCCATTACCCTCTGTTTCTCTGCGGCACCGACTTCGACGTTTTGCCGGAGTCCCAATTGTTTGCGGCCCATAAGTAATTGGAATTTCTAAGGCTCAGGTAGTATGGTCTCGGGAAAGGGGTTGGTCTCCCCAAAGAGCTTCGTGTACTTTTTCCAAGCCCGGCTCTTCTCAGGCCCCATGGCCTTACACCCTAAAGGGAGTCGCCGGCGGGAGGCGGGGCTCCCGGCTCCTTCCTCGCCTTGATTGACGCGACCTAGGGCCAATGGTTTTGCCTTCCCATCGCCGCTGCCGCCTGGGCAGCCAATCGGGCGCGACCGTGGGGTAGGAGAGCGCGAGGAGGTGGGGGAGGGGGGCCGTGCTCCTTCTCTGTCTAGCAGTGAGTGAGGCGGCGCAGCCGGGAGGGAACGGCGGATTTGTTCGGTGAGAAGTCGGGCAGGGCGAAGGAGTACGTGGGGTGCGAGGGGGTCGGAGCCCAGCTTTTCCGCTCGAGCGGGCCGTTTTAGGGTCTCCCGGGCGGATGTCCGCTTCTCCGCTTGAGAGGGAACGTTACCCGGCCTCCCCTCCCCCACCTCCGCCATTTCCCTGCGCGTGTGTCTGCCGTCCGCGTTAGGGTCCTTGGGGTTTGGGAGGGTTATTGTGAGGCGAGTGTCTGTGGGGTGAAGTCTGGGTACCGGCGGCTCAGTGCCTCGTCCGCGGGGGAGATAGCGCGGGCGGGCGTGTGTCCGTCCGAGTCTGGAGCGGGCCGCGGCGCTGCCGCCGCCGGCTTTTTGTGTAACCCGCGGTACCTTGGGCCTCCCGGGCCGGGGTCGGCGGAATCGGGCCCAGCGGGTGGGACGGGCCGGGCTCCCTCGGCCGCTTTGTCTCTCGGGCGGTGGGGGGGAGGTGCGGGGGATGAGATCGCGGGGCCGCGTGGTGGGTGGGGGAGGGGGGTCGGCGCCCGGCTCCGCCTAGTCGCACGTAGTCGCCATTACGCGGGCCGCCATTTCCTGTCGGATCCGGGTGAGGAGAGGTGCGGCGCCTGTGCCCGCTTGGCTTTTCCAGCTGATGGGACTAGGCTGTTGCCAGTCGCGGCCTTGGGAGGTGGGGACGAGGAGGGCCAGGGCGGGATTTGCCCTGGGTTGGTGGAGCCGGGCGAGGCGAGTTTCGGTTCTAAGGGCTGCTAGACGAGCCGCATTATTTTTCCAGCTAGATTCTGCTGCCGGGGCTTAAACTCCTCCCGGGGCTCCCACCACGCCTTAGATTTTGAATGATGGGCGGGCAGGCTGTCCTTGCAGTCCTGGAGATGTTTAACCCTTACGCGTTTTGGAAGATTGAGAGGCAAAAGTGTTGCCGTGATTTTTAGTTCTTGTGCTGTCTAGTCAACCGTTCATCAAGGGCTACATACAGGTCCCCTCTATTAGACCTCTTGTTATTTGGGGCTCGTAGAATCTTAGGGTTTCGTGCTGAAGATGTAATTATTAGATTAAGTACTTTTTATATTTAGTCCAATTTAATTCTTTGCCAGGGATGATATTAGATGGCTAGGGTTCCATTCGTTTCGTTGAATGGTAGTCAATAGAGCCTGGTCCTTAAATACAGATTTGTATCTTTCGCTGTTGAGCAGATTGAGCTGGTTAGTTGGATATGGCTTGTTTGACATTTGCCATTGTGTTTATAATAAGTAGGCGGTGTCAGAACAACATTGAGTCATCACCTGAAAAAACCTAAACCTCCTTGAAACTTTAAAAGTTTTTGTGGGCAAAATGGAGGTCTACAGCACTTTCAGGCACTTAATGGTGTGTAGTAAGTTGCCATGGTGGAAAACAATTATGTTGGTTGAAAATGGTGGTTTTCTTTAATAAATCACTGTGTGAATTCTTTGGTTAAACAGCCATCGATTTTTAAGATCGAAAAGAGTCAACTTAGATCACTGGCTTGCTTTGTTTAAACCAGTTGTGAGACCTGAGATTAGTATTTGGTACTGAACAATAGCAAAACCGATTAGCCTTTTTATTGGCTACTGTGACAATAAGGTGTCAGTTGTTGGCTCTACCCAGACCACTACAGTTGTGCTCTGAAAGGATAGAGAATTAGCATGTCCTAGAAGCAGTCTTTATGAAGTGTAATAAGATGTGTAACTTGCTTTATGATAAGCCACCTGTACTAGCTTCTTTATTTTTCAACAGATTGGTGTGTCCATTTAATACAAGAAAATGGAAACTGAACAGCCAGAGGAAACCTTCCCCAACACTGAAACCAATGGTGAATTTGGTGAGAAAACAATTTTCTAATTTTTGGAAGTATTTATTACAATGTTTTCTGTTTGATGGTAGTGTTATTATTAAAGAAGATAAAGGCAGAGACTAACTTTTTGAAACATGAATAGTAACAAATATCTTCTTCCTCATTAAGGTTCTTAAACCTTAATGTATTTTGTGAACAAATTGCTTTCTTTGAAATTTGTACTGTTAATTTGCAGGTAAACGCCCAGCGGAAGATATGGAAGAGGAACAGGCGTTTAAAAGATCCCGCAACACTGACGAGATGGTTGAATTACGCATTCTGCTTCAAAGCAAGGTATAAACTTATCTTTGAAAAATTGATGGTTCATACTAAAGTAGAAATTAAATTCTGGTTTGTCCCTCGCAGAAGCTTTTAGGGCTTTACAGTCTGAAGAATGTAAGATTTTTGTGGTTCTTTCTAAACTGGCAAATGTATTAATTTTGTTAACTAACTAGTGAGCTGCTCAGCAGTTAAACTAGGAAAGGGGATGATTCTTAAAGTAACAAAGGAATAAATATAGATAATATTGTTGATCGCTCAGAAACTTTTAATAGTTTATGAGGCTGCTTTACCCAAATCAAAATGTGAGGGTATCTACTACCATCATAGCAGCTTGCATAAAAGGATACTGTAAAATTAATCTGTATTTAAATTTGTACTAGTATTAAAGGCATTCTGAGCATTTCAAAGCTTCATCTTAAAGTGCTTTGTATTGAGTACATAGGAAATCTTGGTCATTTCATGCCCATAATTGGCTTTTTTATAGATTTCCAATTCTATAACTTAGTTTAAAGCTTCAAAGCACTAATACAGTAGTTTTAGGGAAAGTCAAAACCATTTCTTGTATTTCTCTCTTCCAGAATGCTGGGGCAGTGATTGGAAAAGGAGGGAAGAATATTAAGGCTCTCCGTACAGACGTAAGTGTTTTATTTAAAGTGCTGAACAAACAGATTCAGTTTTCGTTTCTAGAACTTTTAAAGGTTTACATCATAGAAATCACCTAATGTAGTTGCAAGCCATTTGTTAATAATTGGTTACATAGATGATTTCAAAGTTTGCCATTCTTGTTTTAATAAAAGCCCAGATTGAGTAGGGTAAGGTTTATATTAAACCACTTTCTAATAAGATTCCATCAAATTGTTCACTTAAGGCAAGATAACATCTTAACTAGAAATAGTGTCAGTTTTAAAAACCCTTAATTTTAACACTCCCCTTGTGGATCAATTACATTATTGACAACCATTGTAAGTGGCTGAGTAAACTTAGCAATTCTTCCTTTTTTAAAAGTCATCCATCTGTTCTTTTAACAGCTTTCACATGGAGCACAAAAATGTTTATAGGTTGCATGGTTAAACTGGGTAAAGAATAGAATAGGCACTTAACCTTACAATTGGGAAACCATTTGTCAATACCTATGGTTTGTTGGGTCTTCATGATTTATAGTGGGTTGACTCTTGTGATTAGACACACTAAATGTTTGCAGCATCAGAAGTGAGTAAACATAAAGGACTACATCGAAATTTCTATTTTTTTCTTACAATATACACATTTCTTAATGTTTTTCTTGCTAAAATTGAGGCAAATAACTTTGTGTTGAGTACTTATTTTAACAGTATTTCATTTCTCTCTTGGTCACAGATCTTTGTATGTTCCTCTTGATTACTGTAAACTGTAACTTGAAAATTCGTTTAAATTTTTACAAACCTGCCTGTTCAGGTCTAGGAGTTCATTTAAAATCTCAGAAAACCAGTCTTAATAGTTGGGGTTTGGTGTGGGAATTTTTGTTTGGTCTTTTATAAACCTCTCCTCTTAATCCAGATAGTCAATATAATTGTCTGGGTTATTAATTTCCCCAATTTCCTCAAGAATTTCAGTAAACTTAAGTCACGACAGGTTTTGTGTCTACCCTCATGAGCCAGCCTGCTACTGAAACATCGTTTTTTCTTTTGTTTGTTTTTGTTTTTTTTCCTTGGTTTTGTTTTTTTTCGGTTTTGTTTTTTTAAAAAAAAAACCTAGAAAACCATCATTTAAGGTCCTTAAATGTTAAGCCAGTCAGATATAGAGAAGTCCATTATTGTGTTAGTCTTCAGAACAACTTAAGCTTGTTTCATTAATTGAGAGTATTGAGTATAGTTTGTATTAAATTAAAATTTATTGCTTTTCCCCCTTTTCCCTCTCCTTGTTTTTTTGGCCATATATCTCCGTTGCCCATGTACTGGATCGACTTACCCCTGCGTTGCCCACCATGACGTTGGCCCATCCGCCCCTGAACGCCCATGTGAAAACCCTGGTTGGCTATGCCCAAAAATGTGCTCGTTGCCAAACGGGTACCATACTTGACAACTTCTGATTGAATGCCCATGCCCAATGCCAACATCCACGAACGCCAATGACCAATGCAGTACAATGCCAGTGTTTCAGTCCCAGACAGCAGTGGCCCCGAGCGGTATGTCCCAACAGTTTATGCCTCACTGCCTGATTAGAAAGAGAGAAATGTATTTTATTACCTGCCTTTTATATAATTAAATAGTATCCCCTTTAGACGGTGTATTGTTTTTCAAGTTTCTGTCTTATTTTCCCCATTAAGTCTTTTTGTCACTGAACTTTTACCGTGAGTTGCCCACCCAAACGATCCACTAATTTTATTTCGATGGAAGGAGCACAGCTTCAAGTGTTGCATATTTGCTGCATTGTAAATCAAATTGTTACCCAAATAGTCTCTCGCTCTGTCTTTGTGGCCCACCTTGCTTCCCAACATTTCCTGTTCATAATTTTTTCTGATGAAATGCTAACTCTGGTTCACTTTCCTTCACTTCTCATTTGTGTTGTCTTTGTTTTGTCTTGGCATTTGTATTTGTTTTCTTGCAGAGCCCATTTAGTAATCTAATTTCTAACTGGTATCCATAACCTTATTCCAGATACAATGTTCACCACTTGCATATTCCCCACTTTGCCTAAGAGAAAGGTGTGCCAGTTTTACCAATGTAACAGCGAGGGTATCCTTAACTTGGTGGCGGGGAACATAAATATTCAACTCTGCTCTGGTCAATTTATTGCCCACTTAATCTGAGCCCTTCCAAAAGCCCATTCTTTCTGTCTTTCTTCAAGTCTCCTAATACTGTTATCATGTCTGTATTGGGCATAAAATGCATGTGAAAAATCCATAAATAGGCCACTTTAAATGGGGACTGTTGAGTAAATGTTATGTTACTTCTGTGTAAAAGTTTGTGTGACTACTAATGTCAAGCATAAGACTCATTTTCTTTTCCACTTTTTTTGTACTATCTGGTATTTGTGGTGTTTGACAGCATATTGAGCATCAGTGCTGATATTGAAACAATTGGAGAGATTCTGAAGAAAATCATCCCTACCTTGGAAGAGGTAGGCTCATAATTTTTTTTTAATGTATTTGATAGTATGTGGGGTGGTAAGGTGTTTCATTTGGGGCATAAAGGGAGGGGAGAACTTGCATATATTTCTGACAGAAACCGCTGCATAAAGTGCATCATTGTCATGCACAAGTACTTGGTTTTTGTTTTGTAATTTTCAGGGTGACCACTATTGGAATAGTAAAACCTACTATTGTCATGGATTTAGCATATATTTAAAGACTTCAGGTTTAGAGAAGTTTTAGAGGGGTGTGGGATTGTGTTGAAAAAGAAAAATTGCTTAGATCTTAACCTACAATGCTAAGATATCACTAGTAATATGGAGAAAAGTATTTAAATTGAACCTTACTGTTTAGATAAAATTTTTCTCATACTAAAATGTTATAGTAGCTTTACCAATATATGCGACAATAGCCTGATCACGCTAGACACTTAACCTATTACTCTTATTTTTCTACTTTCAGGGCCTGCAGTTGCCATCACCCACTGCAACCAGCCAGCTCCCGCTCGAATCTGATGCTGTGGAATGCTTAAATGTATGTCATAGTGCCATTGAACCCCACTGAAGTATGGAGCCTGGCCCATAGGATCAATTTTATTTTTAACATAGTGCACTTTTCCCATCTCTAGAAAAAGGCTTAAAATGTGATACATGAATGGTCTTACAACTCACTGTTGACCCTGCTCCATGCTGCAGTGGGAATTAACTATATTTGCAAAGTGCTTCGCAGTCATTTTTTATTATCGTGTTATTTGAATGTTAATATTTTGTGGTAACAGCGACATGCTAAATGGCTGCAGTGTGGGTATGGTGTTGCAGGACCTGAAAATAAAATAATTTTTAAGGTGGTGCAGAATGTCCTTTTTGGGCCTGGCTATTGAGGATAATAAGCACATAACTGGTAAAGTTATTGAAATACAAATTCAGGTTGCTTACTGCAACAGTCTGTTATTATGCTTATAGCTAATAAGTGTAGATAGGGAAATAACTGACATGAAACTAAAATGTTAAAACTCTCCCTCCACAGTACCAACACTATAAAGGAAGTGACTTTGACTGCGAGTTGAGACTGTTGATTCATCAGAGTCTGGCAGGAGGAATTATTGGGGTCAAAGGTGCTAAAATCAAAGAACTTCGAGAGGTAAAGGGCACTTATGTTTCCTGTCATTACTGAATAAATCTATTTTTCTTTTAAAATAATGAAAGTGGTGGCACTTATCAAGTTATTTGTATGTCATGGTGATTAGCCACAATTTTTGTCCGGTAGTTTTAGACTGAATGATAAATCTTTTCAATATATTCTAATTTTTCTTTTTGTAAACTTAACTGCAGAATACTCAGACAACAATCAAGCTTTTCCAAGAATGCTGTCCTCATTCCACTGACAGAGTTGTTCTTATTGGAGGAAAGCCTGATAGAGTTGTAGAGTGCATAAAAATCATCCTTGATCTTATATCGGAGGTAATCTTGAAAATTGTTTTTGTAACTTTATGAAATTGATAAACTTCAAATTTTCAGAATATTTTGTACCTAGTAGTCTTTGTGCTCTTGTGCTTTTCCTAGCAATTTTATATTGTCCAGGTTTACATGTGTTGGTCCTTCAAAAGAATATCCAATTTAAATCTTAACCATTACATTACATTGTACTCTTCTCAGAAGATGTGTCATTTGACACATCTTGGACCAAGATAACAGTCCTTTCAGCTCTCAACTTTTACTCCTCAGAGCTGACCCCTATTGTGTGTACATTGTAGTTTATAATGTAAAAATGAAAGAAGGTATCTAGATATTTCTAGTTTCTCCTTATACTTCCATGTAGTAAAATTTATCTTTTGTTCAGATCATGCTAGCCATCCATTTTAAGATCCTTTCCCACTATCATTGTTTGTATTTGTTCTACCTCTTGATCAAAATAATTTGTCCGAAAGAAGGGTTAGTAAGACCTAAGGCATTTATTTCTTCAGTCAATAAGGTTGCTATATTTTTGTTTTTAGTCTCCAATTAAAGGACGTGCACAGCCTTACGATCCCAACTTCTATGATGAGACATATGATTATGGCGGTTTTACGATGATGTTTGATGATCGTCGTGGACGTCCTGTGGGATTTCCCATGCGGGGAAGAGGTGGTTTTGACAGAATGCCTCCTGGTCGGGGTGGTCGTCCCATGCCTCCTTCTAGAAGAGATTATGACGATATGAGTCCTCGTCGTGGACCTCCTCCTCCACCTCCTGGTAGAGGTGGTCGGGGTGGTAGCAGAGCTCGGAATCTTCCTCTTCCTCCACCACCTCCACCTAGAGGAGGGTAAGTATTTTTTGTTTGGGAAAGATGTTTAGCTACATATTTACATAAAAGGCATTCTTGGTGAGTGGAGTAATTTGCTGTGTATGTTACGGAAATTGAGATTGTGACTAATGTGTTTACAGAGATCTAATGGCCTATGACAGAAGAGGAAGACCTGGAGACCGCTATGATGGAATGGTAAGGACTGTTTTTGTTTAGCAGTGTGTGTGAGGGCTATTTGAAGTATTAAAGTCACATAGTTAACATTTTGTTAAATGAATTAAGAGGAGTTTTAATGGGTTTTAAAAATGAAAATCTTCAGAAACATAAGAGTGGTAACGGGCAATATGATGTAGCTTTGTGTTAATTTTTCTACTTACAGGTTGGTTTTAGTGCTGATGAAACTTGGGACTCTGCGATAGATACATGGAGCCCATCAGAATGGCAGATGGCTTACGAACCACAGGTTGAATATTTTAATGTACATATCAGTAATTTAAGATGTTTATTTGCTGAGCAATTAGTTTTATTTCCTCTCATGTAGTAATTTGTTTCTTGGAATGCCATGTAACTAAAACTTAAAATTATGGCTTAATAAGAAATGTACTTATTATATTAATCATGTAACTGTAACTCCTGTACAGTATCTTTACAATAATACAAATATATAATTTGTGGGGAATAAACTAGAGAGATGTGGGTGACTTTGATTTCCTAAACTGAGGATTGCTTAGTATTACAGTGACTTTGTTTTTTGAAGGCAAAGTAATTTTCTATTTTTTTCTCTTTTTAGGGTGGCTCTGGATATGGTAAGTTTTCTCTTTTGTAAAAATCAAACATTTTATACTTTTTACATGAGCTTAATGCTTATCATTTAAATCAGATTATTCCTATGCAGGGGGTCGTGGCTCATATGGTGATCTTGGTGGACCTATTATTACTACACAAGTAACTATTCCCAAAGATGTAAGTATCCTTAATACTAGGAGCAAACATTTAGTGAAATTTCTTTAAATGGTGCTGCCTATTTCTCTTAAATTTCCTTTCATCTGGAGGTTTTAATTAAAACTACTAGAACCCTAGATTATGTTCAAGGATTTAATGTGTTACTCCAGTTTGTCTAATCAATGTTGTTCAATGTCTTCAAAGTATTAAAAAAAAGTTAGGATGTGTATAGATATTTATAATCCAGTCTTTGGTTTGTCAAGCTTTCTTTAAAAGTTACATGAACACCTGTATTTAAAAATCTTTTCAGTTGGCTGGATCTATTATTGGCAAAGGTGGTCAAAGGATTAAACAAATCCGTCATGAGTCAGGAGCTTCGATCAAAATTGATGAGCCTTTAGAAGGATCCGAAGATCGGATCATTACCATTACAGGAACACAGGACCAGATTCAGAATGCACAGTATTTACTGCAGAACAGGTTAGTTTGTGTTTAACTTTGTGTTAACTCATATACACTAAAATACTTAAGAACTTTTCTTCTCAGTTAATTTTTCTTTTAGAAACCATGGTGTTTCAGTCATTTGGGGACCTAACTTCTAAACACTCTAATATTCTAATAGCTTTGCCTTAATTTTCTTCTGCTTTCTTACTAAAAATGAAGACATTCAATACTAATCTTGCTGGAAGAAGCCTTAACCAACCAAACTTCTCATTTCTCTGGTGAAAACTGCTGCCAAAACCACTCCTTATAAATTATACAGAGAGCCTGTAGAAACTATAGAAGATTCATTGGATGTTGGCTTAGTTCTGTGTGGAAGACTAGTGATTTTGTTGTTTTTAGATAACTAAATTGACAACAAATCACAGTCTGCCATATGGCACAGGTCACCTCTACAGGACAAATGATTGGTGCTGTAAAATGCAGCATTTCACACCTTCCTGGCATTTCTTGTCTTTTCTACCAAATACTAACAACTTTCAGTTTCATTTTCTTAATTCTGCTCTACTGTCTGATTAATCATTTTTCTTGAATTTTACATTGCTTTAATCTGTAATTGCTGGTGTTTTTAAATTTTTAATTGTAATGGACATTTAAATTTAGCATTGAAATTGTCTTAATGTTGATTAAGATGTTACGAACAAAAATTCTAATTCGTACTTTTTTTTCTTTTCTTTTATAGTGTGAAGCAGTATGCAGATGTTGAAGGATTCTAATGCAAGATATTTTTTCTTTTTTATAGTGTGAAGCAGTATTCTGGAAAGTTTTTCTAAGACTAGTGAAGAACTGAAGGAGTCCTGCATCTTTTTTTTTTATCTGCTTCTGTTTAAAAAGCCAACATTCCTCTGCTTCATAGGTGTTCTGCATTTGAGGTGTAGTGAAATCTTTGCTGTTCACCAGATGTAATGTTTTAGTTCCTTACAAACAGGGTTGGGGGGGAGGGTGTGCAAAAACTAACATTGAAATTTTGAAACAGCAGCAGAGTGAGTGGATTTTATTTTTTGTTCATTGTTGGTGGTTTAAAAAAAATTCCCCCTATGTAATTATTGTGAACACCTTGCTTTGTGGTCACTGTAAACATTTGGGGGGTGGGACAGGGAGGAAAGTAACAATAGTTCACATGTCCCTGGCATTTGTTCAGAGCAGTGTGCAGAATGTAATGCTCTTTTGTAAGAAACGTTTTATGATTTTTAAAATAAATTTAGTGAACCTATTTTTGGTGGTCATTTTTTTAAGACAGTTTTCAAATGGTGGCTGAATTTTCTAACCCACTCCTAAACACTAAGTTTGATTTTTCAGCTCCTCTGTTAAATATAAATGCACCTCTTGGATATAAACAAAATATATTGGCAAATTCAGTACTAATGATTTCCTAGTAGTTTGAAAAACCATTGCTTGGGGAGAAATTACATCATACACATTCATGCTTAAGATGGGGTTTTTTTATTTTTGCAAATGCTTGCCCCAATTTTACATGTTTTCTGTTGTAAAGAAACAAGGTATGGAGAATGATACCACAAGTTAATATAAGCATATACCAGAAGAATGATTGGCAACAAGCTTTATTACTCAGATTAACATTTAGTTATAAAGTGGTTGATGGCTGAATAAAATCTGGTTATTTTTATTACATAATTTCTCACCTATAGACTTAAACTGTCAACCCTAGTAGTGTCTATTAAACTTTGTAAAAATATATATACTTGTTTTTCCATTGTATGCAAATTTAAAAAATGTACCATTTCTCTGTTGTATGTTTGATTATGTAGGAAATGTTTGTGAGCAGTTCAAAAAATGAAAAAAAAAAGTTCCTGTGGATGTTTTGTGTGGTATCTTGGCATTTGTATTGATAGTTCAAATTTTACTTCCAAATAAAAATCCCATGATGCTAGATTTGATGTGTGCCCAATTTGAAAAGGGGTTGACTGACAACTGTGAAATTCCTTTCACAGGGAAATGAAGTAATCTTAAATTACACTTTTGTGTGTGGAAAGTATAAAATGACATTTTGGTGGTTTGGTTATACCAATCCTCAACATTCATTTTTTGGCAGTATTAGTTTGAACTTGGGACTTCATTTGCTAGGTAGACACTAGAGCCATGCCCCCTGGCCCTTTACATTTAGTCTTGTACTTTTACCTTAACCATTATCATACTTCATCCTACCAAGCCCCCATATTGCCTTGATTATAGACTGACTACCATTGCCTAGCATATTGGTTGAGATGGAGATCTCAACCGATTGGACTGCTGTCGTGATCTCCCACCCAGCAAATGGAGAATACAGGCATGTGCTACCACTAAGCCACCATGAGTATTTTTTTTCTGTCAGTCGTGGGCCTTTAACTTGGCTTGGGCACTGTCTCTGCACTCTTGAGCTTAAGGTGAGCCCTCTACCACTTGAGCCACAGTACCACTTCCGGTTTTCTAGTGGTTTATTGGAGTTTCAAGGTCTTTCCTGCTTTGGCTAGCTTTGAAGTGATCCTCATCTCAGCCTCCTGAGTAGCTAGGATTACAGGCATGAGCCACCCGCACCTGGCTACCAAAAGTGATTTTGAGTGAATTTTTCAAGTTAGTTTAAAGCTTGATACATGAAATGAAAATAGTGTATCCATCGTAAAATTGCAGTTTCGGCTTTCAACTGTCCAGGAAAATGGAAAAATAAGTTATAATTTTATAAAAGATTATATAAAATAAGGGGGGGTTATCAGAATAAGCTAAACTGTCAAAACACAGTGCTGCTTTTGATAAGGTTTCTTCTGAGGTGAAATTAGTCTCCATTGCCACAAGGGTTCTTGTAGGGAGTGGCTTAGTGTGAAATAAGGCTTCCCTAGAGAAGAGAGGTAGTAACAATTGGGTCAAATTGCTAGTCCTATTGGAGGGAAGCATCCCTAGAGGATATGGCTTTCAAAGCTCTTAAGTTATTCAGAAATTGAGTTATGTAAGTGGACTATTACCTAAGTTTTCAGTTTTGCCTTACAACAATTCAGATTGAGTGCACAAACTCACTGGAGATTATAAACAGGTTGAGAATGCTACATGGGGATTTTAGTATACAATTTGCTAAGGAGGTGACTTGCTTTGCCACTATAATTTGTGTTTTGTGTAGTGGTAGGAAATTAATGTAGCCAGGAGCAAAGTCAAAAGCTCAAGAAGTAGAACACAAAACTAAGTTTTTGTAAGAAGTTGTAGTATGTAATATTTAAGCTTTAAGGATGTAATTGCAAGGATAACCATGTGTGTGTGTGTGTGTCCCAAGAACAGATTATTTTTAAATACTGTAGTCCTAATATGTCAGCAAGTACATAACCAAAAAGAAAAGCCAGCCAGACGCTCAGGGCTGTAATCCTAGCTACTCAGGAGGCTGAGATCTGAGGATCTCCATTCAAAGCCAACCCAGGCAGGAGACCCTTATCTCCAATAAGCCACTAGAAAACCAGAAGTGGTGCTGTAGCTCAAGTGGTAGAGTACTAGCCTGGAGCTGAAGAGCTGAGTGACAGCATCCAGGCCCAGAATTCAAACCCCACGACCGATAAAAAATAAAAGGGGTTGTGCAGGATACTAAAAAAATATTTCACTTCTATTGATTTCATGGTGATTTGAAAGTCCAATGCTTGGGCAGAAATCACATCATACACACATGCTTTTAAGATAGTCTTTTTGCAAATGCTTGCCCCAACTCTGTTTTCTGTTAGTTGTAAAGAACCAAGGTTTGGAGAGTAATACATGCAAGTTAGTATCAAGTTGAGTATGGCGGTACTTAAAATCCCAAGATTTGGTAAGTGGAGGGAAGGAGGATTTTGAGTAAAAATGCAAGCCTGACCCACATATCAAGAACCTATCAAAAATCATAAGGTCTGAGTTTGTAGTTCTGGTACAGCACTTGACTAGCATGCCTAATAAAGCCTTGGGTTCAATTTCTAGCATTGGGGGAAAAAATGTATTTTAATGACCTATAGTGCTCAAGATAAAGTTTACTGTTCCACAAACATTTGATTTTGCTGCCTGACATGGTTTGGTAGCAGGCATATGTAATCTTAAAACCTGAAGCTGAAAGATCCAGTTTGAGGCACCCTGGGCTACATAGCAAGGTCCTGTCTGAACACACACACACACAAACTTTGACTATTCAGACCTCAAATTTTACCAAACTTCCTTTATATTTTTGGTTTCTTTTTTTCCTTTCAGTACTGCCAACTTGAGCCATACCACCCACCCCTCAGTGTGTGGCAGAGAGGAGCTAGATTGCAACCTTATTTATACTCCCACTTAGCTGGGAAAACAGGCATGTTGCCACCATACCCACCACCACACCCAGCTTTTTTGCCTTTTATTTTCTGTGCTGGTCCTGGGGCTTGAACTCAGGACCTGGGTGCTGTTCTTAAGCTGCTTTTTACTCAAGGCTAGTTAGTGCTGTACCACTGAGCAATAGCTCCATCTCCACGCTTTTTTTTTTTTTCCTAAGTAGTTTATTAGAGATAGGAGTCTCATGGACTGCCCAGGGATCCTCAGAGCTCAGCCTCCTCAGTAGCTAGGATTACAGGCATGAGCCACCAGCACCTGGCCAGACCGTTTTTTGTTGTTGATGTTATTGTTGAGATGGCTTATTAGCTTTTTTGCCTGGTAGCTTCAAACGATGAACCTCCTGATCACTGCCTCTGGAATAACTGGGATTATAAGGGGAACCACTGCACACAGCTATTATTTGTTGAGAGGTTCTCACTTTGTAACCCAGAGTTGCCTCTGAGTGCTAGGAATATAGTCTATCTATCTATGAATATAGCATTCAAATTCTTGGTGGTGGTGGTGGTGGTGACAAAACTTTTTGAAGGTGGTAATGCAGTTTTTTTCAAGTTGTATACCTAGGACCAATTTCAACCAGTCTACAGAGCCAACAGTAATATCGTACATTCCCTAGTTCACTCTTGAAGTTTAAGGACTGTTGTAATGCAGCACTATATAGATTTAAAAAAATACCCAGACATTTGTATACCTTTTCATGAACATCAATGTATTTTGTTACCAAGGTGCACAGGAATAGTGCTACATCCTAAGGCTGCAGGGGCTAGCAAAAACAGGGCCTTTTGTTTTGTTGGCTTATTTTTAGTTTGTGTATGTGAAGGTGTGTGTATGCCAGTACCGGCACTTGAATTCAGGGCTTCTCTTGCTTGGCCTTTTTCCTCAAGCCTAACACTACCACTAGAGCCACACCTCTACTTCCTATTATTAAAAAAATTATTTAAGTTGAACTCTGGGATTTATGCACACTAGACAAGCACTCTACTCCCTAAGCCACACTCAGGGTCAGCAAAAACACCCTTGAAGAGTCACAACTATATTACCTAGAATGCACTGACCTTCCTTGAGCTTAGGAAAATACTAGTATCTTGGCCCAAATATTTAGGAACTCAAACCCTCTGATTCTCTTAGCAGATGAACAAAATAAGACAATATATACAGATGGACATAACTGGTCTCCAATTTCAACACTTCCAGTGAAAAAAGCAGTCTGAGGAAAAAAACAAGTAGATACTTGGAGGGAAAGCTCAGGCAATTATAAATTTGTCCCTGTTTAAAATGAGAGGCCTAATTTTGAGTTGTGGTTGTATGTGCAAAGCCTGGGAGGAAAAGGTCCACTAGTCTCCATCTTCAAAAAAGTTGTACTGAAAATTTGGCTCAACTGAGTGAGGTCCTAAGATTAAGCCTTGGTATCAGCCCAAAACAAAGGAAAAGAAAAATTCAAGGGTAACACTTGGATGACTGAGTGCTGAAAAGCCACACCACCACTTACACTACACGGGTTAGTCAGTGGTAAATATGGGAGGGTAAAAGCTAAAACTGAGACTGAAGACAGACTATACCTTAACTAGTGATCAGAGACAGCTTGCTGACACACCATTACCAGAAGAACAGCAGAATTCATCTTTGAAAGGTAGAACCACAAAAAATTGGAAAGAACATGATCAAGGGTTGACCTATAACAAAACTATTAACCTTAAATGAGATCATTTAAAACTAGAAGAGACCAAACTATTATCTGGCCAAGTTTATTCTTCTTCTGCCATCAATGGCAGAAGAGTCAGAGGGCATATGGAATTTTCAGGGCCCTACAATTTCCTACAGAAGAGAAGACTAAAGCTTTTAAACAATATGTTCTAGGCAGAGGGTTAGACCTTATTGTAATAGCTTTTTTTTTAATAGGTAATTTATTAATAACTGGGTCTCAGACATGGGATCAAGTTGAAAGCAATCTTTGGCTGATAAACCATATCATGGCCTGACCAATTTCTTCTACCCTATCCTACCTTGGTCTCTCTTCTTCATCTGAAAACACTTACCCAGTGAAGCCAGGAATCCCAGGTGTTGTCACTACTTCCTGGATTTGATCTAACACAGTTGAGCTGGAGCAAGAAGTAGAAATGTACCTTACCCAGACAGCTTGGACTTAAGATTCTTTTTTTTTTTTTTTTTTTGGTCGGTCGTGGGGCTTGAACTCTGGGCCTGGGCGCTGTCCTTCAGCTTTTCAGCTCAAGGCCAGCGCTCTACCACTTGAGCAACAGCGCCACTTCCGGGACTTAAGATTCTTAAGAAAGAAATGAGACTTTGGGGCTGGGAAGGTGGCTCAGTGGTAGAATGTTTGCCTTGCATGCATGAGGCCCTGGGTTCCATTCCTTAGCACCAGATAAGCAGAAAAAGCCAGAAGTGGCGCTGTGGCCCAAGTGGTAGAGCGCTAGCCTTGAGTCAACTGAAGAGCAGAGAAGGGCAGTTCCCATGCCCCATGACCAACCAATAAAAAAAAAGAGATAGAGACTTTGAGTTATCACTTTCAATTGAATGGGTGAGATTTTTTATTTTATTCAGAATAACTGTGTTGTGTTAGGCAGAACTGTTTT